CGGTAAGTGGGGAAGTTTGAAGGTCTGGGTCTACTCAAAGCCGGAGAGTGTGTTTGAAGCACACTAAACTGATACAATGTGCGTGTGTGTGTGTGTGTGTGTGTGTGTGTGTGTGTGTGTGGGGGGGGGGGGGGGGACATATTTGTAATATGTAAAAGACACTGCAATAGGGAAAGTGTAATGGAGAAAGAAAAGGAAAGAAAAAAAAATCTATTTTGGCATTCGTGGTGTTTGAGTGTTCTTTTTTTTTAACCATCTCTTCTTTTTCTTTTCCCCTCTTCAGTTCTCTTGGAGGCAGTGTATTGATTTTATATTAGGCCTGAGCTACCATCTGGCTGCTTTTCATTCCTCTGTTTTTATAAAGCATCGGGAACAGAGAGAGAGCGAGATCGAAAGGGACCGGACTCAGAATTCATTATGCGTTAGATAAAGACAGTGAGAGAAAGGGGAGCATACAGAGTAGTGTGTGTATGTATGTGACACGGAGACAATGTGTGTGTGTGTGTGTGTGTGTGTGTGAGAGAGAGAGAGAAGGAGAGTGTGTGTTTGTGTGATTGTGTGTTTTATGAGCATTCTCAATGTGTGTTATTTGTATTCACGTATGTGTGGAAAGAATGGTGGCAAACAAACTGAGGGGCCATGAAGTACAAAGTATAATTTAACAGCAGTTGCGTGCATTTTTAGAGAGATCTCTTGAACACTCACACAGCCCCGCCCCCCCGAGTCCCTTCTTTCTTTCCTTCATGTCCCCCATCTACAAATAAGCGGAAAAGAAGCCGATAGTCCCCAAGAGAACGAATGTCTGCCCCCCGAGAGGCACGAATCTCCGTCTCCCTCCATCTTTCCCTCCCTTTTCCCCTCCCAACCCCTTAGGAGCGAGGTAAGCAAGCACTCGGGCCTCTGTCATTCAATCTATCATCCATTGATTTGTTTCATCAATGTGTGATTGTCTGATGACAAATATTTAACATCCTACCACAATATTGATCCCAATGCTCGGGGCGAAAAGGGAATTGAGGATGTTTTTCTCAGGTCAAGCTCGTATTTGCCCTCTGTCTGGTGTACATTCCACGAAATGCAGCCATTGTTTCCACATATTCACTGCAAACTGTTTCCTAAATGGGATGCTTTTGAATTGGTACATTGATTTTTACATCTATTTAAGGTCTCAAGAAAATAGCTTTTAAGGTGCAGAATTTTATCAGTTTTTGGAAGAATTAGGGATTAAAAAATATTTTACAGGGAAGCAATGATTGAGTTGGAATTTTTTTTTCCACAACATATAAACAATTCAGATTACAACAGTACAGATGTTGGCATTAATGGCTGATTGACTACTCTGGTGAAGCTTTTGGGTAAAATAATATATGATCTATGTAGAAAAACAGACTATGCAATGGGATTACAGTCCGATATCGTCGTGTTGAATCTTATATGGGCAGCGTGCGGATGCTGGACAAATTGTCCGTGAGTGCGACTGTCGGGTACTTACAGCCCGCGCTGAGATCCGGGACTCTTCTGTGATTAATGGTAGGGGACGCGCCCCTCTAATTGTGGTCCCTGACACAGGCACACGTCCCCAGACAAAGCAAGACAGGGCTGGAGCAGGGTGCCATGCTCAATCACCTTTCAGCAGAAAGGCTGAGTGCTGCTCTGGGGGTTTTGGAGGAAAGAGAGGTCACAGGATATCTGGTGATGACAGTAGAGGAGAGCAGACGAGACTCAAGTATCTAACCAGTGGTGGGAAACGGGAGTGTTTGAGGTTTGGGTTTTCCGCTGTGATGGGGATTTACCAGAGACAAACAGAGAAGACGCAGTAACAGAAGAGACGTAGAACTTCCTCACATGCAAGAGAGAGATTTACTGGGTCTCACTTTATCCTCTCTGGATTATCCTCATTGGATTGGAATTTAAGTCTGCTTCTGGCCTGTGTAACTACATGCACCTGTTGCAGCAATATTTAATCATTACAATGGCAAGATTTAATTTCACAACGATGTGTTTGGGAATTATGCAAACAATTATTTCAGGAATTTATCACAACACAAATAAGAAGTAATTCTACTTCCAGATCCAATAGACTCTCAGTCTGCGTATTTAATATACTTAAACTACAGTTCTATAACAGAGGTAAACATTTCACTCTACTGAACCACAGACTCTGTAAAGGCGGAATAATTGGACCCATGATGCAAATGCTTTGTGCCTCTCTTCCACCTGCCGGCATTTTTTTGAGAGGACAGATGGAAGTCCTGAATTGGCTGCAGCGAGGGACCCCAAACAGTCAGCTCTATCAAGGAATCCCTTTATACGGGGAGGCAGGCAGACTGTTTTCATATTTTATCTGTCAGCAGTCGTGTATACTTTAAATGTATATGTTTGCTTGTGTTAAGGTGTTTGCACGCATTTGTGTAGATGCATGTGTGAACCTTACTTAATTGTACCTTCCAAGCCCTATCGTCCTGTGTCCAAGTCCTCCGGGGAGAGCCCCGTCTGGCCTCATAGGCCCCCTAGGCCCCTGTGAGCTTCCCACAATGCTATTCAAACAATAGGCCAAGGGACAAAGAGCACATTTACACAAGTAGAGCCTACTTTGAAAGCAAAAAGGCACTGTTTGGAAGATTTCCAAACCTTCCTGCCCCCTCCCAAAACAGAATCCCTGTTGCCCCTCCACACCCCACCTCTAAATTCTCTGGCTTAAAAAAAAGTTCACCATTTCAGCGATGGAGACGTGGGAGCCAAATATACTACACCAAACCCAATCCCACCCGCCAACCCACAAGCACCCCCAATCTAGCCAAACCCCCTCTTTACAGGACAAAAGCCCTTTAGAGGCCGAGTGTATGTGAGGGCTCTGGTGGATACCATAGTGGCTTAAAGACCGTGGAGGCCTTTAAGAGACACTTATTTTACTCCGACTCCCTTCATTTCTCTCTCTCTCTCTCTCTCTCTCTCTCTCTCTCTCTCTCTCTCTCTCTCGCTCTCTCTCTCTCGCTCTCTCTCTCTCTCTCTTACATTGAAAAGGTTCAGCAAGGGGTAGAAAGAGTCTTGAGAGGGACGGGGGCAGTAAAATAGTGGGGGTGTAAAGGGTGCTCTTATGTCAACATTGTGGTATTTTCCCAAAGATGCATATCGCCTCTATACAAATAGGAGATGTATTTATAGGAGTACATAGAAAACTGCATGAGAGGAGAGTGTTTGGCTGAGCTTTCTGGGCACGGCCCCCATGGCTCCATGGATGGTCTTCATGGCTAGTGAAATTGTTATTCTTTAGATGCGCGTTGGCTGGGAAACACACAAGTTCTCAGGCGACCACACAGTACTTTCCCTCCCAACATGGCTGCCACGCAGAGGAGCGCATTGAAGGAAAAGGTCCAGCACCATACATCTTGACCGGAGCCAGTATTGCACAGCTTCTTTGTTACTGTGCCGGGCCAGACAGCCGTGGCTACGCAGCAGGCATGTTTGGGAAAGGAGGGTAACTTTTCCACTTTTAACTCCGTGTGACACACACCAGGCCAGTAATCTGCTGGTTTAGACCTAAATAAATTGTGGCATTTAAATCCAAATTCTTAGTGAGAGACTGAATTATATCACTGATCACTTATAAACTGAGTCAAGCTAGTCAACAGAGCTTTGGATACACAACAATAACCTGGTGCTCATTGCAAACCTGTGAGCACATGCCCTTATCCAGCCATAAAAGAGGTCAGCCAAACCAGACTGGCAGGTAGTATCTCCCACAGAGCCACTGTGACGTCTCTTGAAGGAAATTTAAAACCTTGGCATCCACAAACTACAAAGTGCAATGTGACATGCCCCAAAAGATCCATTAGCTGTATGCAAATCTGTTGCCAAACCTAGTCAAACCTGTGTCATTAATGACTGTACTTATTGTCCCTTTGTACAACGTCTACGCTGTGGACAACAGAAAGGTGACTAAATGTTTGCTACCAAATGGAGTACAAGTGCAATTAAGTGCTTACGTGAGAAGTATCTAATTACGATATTGTTGGCAAAAACTTGTGAAAAGAAAAGAATAAAATGCCTTGAATATTCAGACGATTTTTACTGATTCAATGAATAAACAGAGAGAATCTCCAGCTTCAGTTTCACAGTGAGCAGTGCAATCAGCGTTTATTCCCCAGCCATTTCTCACTTTCTCCCCCCTTCTCTCTCCCTAAACAGGCCCTCCCAGGTGACATGACAGTTTCTCACAAAACCAGTCTCTGCTGTTTGCCAACGCTGCCGCTCTCTGAGCATCACATTCACCACAGGCTCTGCAATACCAGACAGCAGGCGACGGGTACAGCAGCAAGCACAAACACACCTGAACAACACAGACACGCTGCTGCAGGGAGCTGCAGTTTGAGTGTGTGCATGTGCGTCTGCTACACAGCAGTGGTACAGGTTTATCACTAACCCTGTTAGGCAGCATTGACGTCTCCACCTCAGAGCTGGCACGCAAGGGAGTTATTGATTAGCATTAAGCATCCATGCAGATGGCCAATAAAGAGCAGGTGAGCCAAATAGGGCCTGGAGAGTGGGAAGAGGGGAGCTCTGTGTGTGTGTGTGTGTGTGTGTGTGTGTGTGTGTGTGTGTGTGTGTGTGTGTGTGTGTGTGTGTGTGTGTGTGTGTGTGGCTCCAGGTGGAGGAGCGGTTAGTAGGATGGTGTGAGGTCTCCAAAAACAACACAGATGATGAGGAAAACAGGCAAATCAGGGCAGACTTAGTATTGGAGAGAATAATATTTAGCTGTATGATTTAAAGTTTCTTTTTGTTGTATAGGTTGTATTCGGGGTAACGTAGTGATAAGAAGACATGCGTCCAGCCCCTCTGTAATTAACCGATGACACTAAGGGAACACACACAATATTTTACTGTTGATTAAAAAAAATATGTGCTGTGCAATGAACAACACTATCAAGCTTGTTTCCATTACAGATGTTTTCGTTGGAGACATCTAAAGAGATAAACAGAATTAATTGCAAAATGGAATGTCACCTTTAACGTCATATTTATTGTTATTTAGTTACTCAATAAAACATATACAGATATATACAATATGCAGGAAAACAGACGACTGCACTTTACTTATTATTAAAAAAGAAAACCAAAAACAAATATCAGTTTGTAAATTGCCGTCACAGTCCTCCGTCTATTGTTTCAGAAATTCAAATTAGACAGAAGCTTTATTTAAAGATTACAAGATTGCCTAACACACAGCAAATTTTCTTTTATTATACATGTGCAATACCAATAGTATTTTTTTCAATTCCCTTATTAAACAATCCCTTGACCTCCATTTTCAGTTCTCATTGGCTAAATTGTATGCAAGCTGAGCTTATAAGGATGATAGAAGAGGTGAGTAGAAGACGAGAGAACAGAATAAAGGAATACAAATAATGGCGAACTACAACAAATCATAAATGATTAAGAGCAGCAAATGATAACGGTTAACATTTTCTTTGCCAAAGAGGGGAGAATTGTGTTCACAAAACTGAGTTGAGTTACATTCATGCAAAATCACCCCTCCTTCGATCTTCCTCTTGTTTAGCTTCTAGTGTTCAGGCCACTGCTAATTACACAGTAGGCCGCATAAGGGTGAATGTGCGTGTGTGTGTGCGTGTGTGTGTGTGTGTGTGTGTGTGTGTGTGTGTGTGGATTGGGTAGTTGTATCACAATACTCAACTGTTATACAATCAAAGCCAATGACAACTGAATATCTCTTATTCTCCATCTTCTGGTGGTCTCCTCCTTGACATTTCTTTATTTTTCCTTTGACAAAAAAAAAATATATATATATATTGATTTGAGGTTTTCCAGATGTGAGAATGGTTAAGCACACACTGTATTGCCCAGCAGTATGTGAGAGAGTGTCCTAAAAGGGTACTGTAAGTCTCAGAGGAAAAGTGTGTTTTTGCGTGCGTGCGTGTGTGTTTGTTTTATTTGTGTAAGAAAGAAGAGATTAGAGGGCGAGAGTGAATGTCTGCGGTGTTGTTTTCACGAGTCTAAATGTCTCTCTGTCCCTGGACAGGCAGGAGTTGTTCGCAGTCGCCTCACCAACACTTCGCTATCGTCATCGGTATCATCGTTATCAACATGAATTGTCTTTGAAGCTTTTCTTCGCCTTAATGTTCTTTCCTTCTTCCCGCTGGGCTCCGCTCTTTGCTCAAGTCAGTGCCGCCACAAATGTCCCAAATCGGTTGGAGATATCAGAGTGGAGAGAGCGCCAGGATGAGACGGGCCCCCCTCGGCCCTTACTGTCCCCCAGCTCGTCTGTGCAGTGGACGGACAGGCACTGCAGGTGGTTACCTCCGCTGCTCCCCCCCCCTCCTCCTCCTCCTCCTCCAGCTCCTGGGGCCGCGGCTCCAACCTTACTCTGGGACAGCTCAGATTCTGCAGACAAGCACAGAGAGGAAAATTATAATCAAGACAATATAAAAAACAAAAAACAAACTTGAAGCAAATTGTCATTTACTGATAAAGATAAACCATGATGAACACACTTTTAATTAAACCAGTGTCATTTTCACTTCCCACTCTAAATCTGCTCTGTGAAAATGAATTCAACACTATTCCACCAGCCCATTAAAACCAAGCAAAAAAAAGCAGGCTGTAAGCAAAGCTTCCTCTGCTCACACTCCACCTCCTCATGTCTGATGTCTCCAAGTGGCAAAGCAGAAACACAAAAGCGCACACGCATTCATTTGCTCCCAGTCAGGCGCGTAAATGTGGAGCCCTCATGAATGACCTCTGGTCCGAGGGTCAAAGGGCGCGGAGAATACTGGCCTCCAACCCTGCTTGACCTAATTTAGTGATATAATTACCATGCCACGGCATCGACCTGCATCACCAAGGTAGGGAACCCGATATCAAATGGTTGCACCAAGCTTCCGGGAAAATCCATACACAGGTTGATTAAGTCATATCAAATTTTCGTCTGAGATGCGCGCTTCGCATATGGAGAGAAATCACGTTGTGCCGTGCAACGACAAAATTAGTCCCGGGGAAGATTGATGAGGACAGGAAGTGCTTGGCTAAACTATACATAAAAAACGCAGCGTCACATCATCTGCTGAGAGACAAACTGCAGCGTGCTGAGGGGAGGCAGTGATGAATAACGGTTTAGGGGAAAGAGAAACACAACGTTTTGGTGTTGTGACACAAGAGTCCAGAGAAAGTGTGTGTGAAGATGTGAGAAGTCCTTTAATAAAAACCGTCCGCTTTTTCCACCCATCATGAAACAAACAACTACCTTCCTCCGTAAAAGGACGGCAGGCAGATGAGTGTGCTGCACAAAGGCACTTTGGCTTTCCGGTACCGGGTGTCTGAACGAGGAGACGGGCAGAAAACCGCTCTGACAAGCTGAGTTACGTGAGTCAGAGGAGGGAGAGGCAGAGTGACAGACGACAGTCTGGGCGCAGAGGCAGCGCATCACAACACTGCTGCTCACCTGGGAGCGAAGCACCGCGCAGACCTCCCTATCATCCACAATCCTTTGTTTTTTTTAGCTCATCGTTCTCTGCCACTTAAAAGTATTTTCCTTTTGTTTCGCTCGCTGTCCTCATCTCCCTCCCTCTCTGCTTTCACAAACCCGGAGGCAGAAGAGACACGGCGTTAACAAAACACAGCCGGGGTGGAGCGGGCCAAGCCGGTCCAAGCAACGAGGACAACGGAGAGAAGAAGGGAGGCAGACATGCAGGCAGCGAGGCTGGCTTGCCCCCCAGCCTGTCTGGGCTGCGACCACTGGAATGGAAAAGTGGGAGGGGGGAAGGGGGGAGGGGAGGGGTTGTAAAAAGGTCAGGCAGCCAAGTCTCACGTTGTTCCCCGTTTTGTTCCCCCCCCCTCTGATTGCCGGTCTCTATGCGTTTCCCTCTATCTCCATCTCCCTCCTAAGGAACAGGGCTTAAGTGGGTGATATGGGGGGGGGGCGGTTGGGGCAAAGGGAGGGTTTACAGAAGCGGTGGTGGCGGCGGTGACGAGATCTAACATTTGCCAGAGGGTTCAGTCATACACCTCAGCATGGCGGCTCACCCGCTGCCCTTCTCCCCCGCCCTCCCTCCTTGCCCCTCCCCCTCATCCTCCTCGGCCCTCCACCCACTCACACTCCCTCTTCCCAGCGCGGTGGCCTCCAGCACCCGCCGGCAGCTCATGCTAGCTGGGCACAGCAGGGTCCGCACCGGCCTGAATAGGCAGCCAAGCGTTCCCCTGGCTCACTGCTGACACACAGCGAACTGACAACACGCACAGCCAAAAACACACAACACGCCAACCGCTGCCATACCCACACCAGCCCTCAGCTGCCGCTCCACATGCGCACACACACACACACACACACACACACACACACACACACAATATCGCAGCATGTCACTCCGCTTCAATGCAAGGACAAGAGTGGAAAAAAAACAGAGAAAAAATGTATATGGATCAAATTACAAACATGATGACTCTTTTCTTGCAGGCGCACAAACACACTTAGAAAATGTATCGCTTGTGTCGTGTTCAGATGAAAACTGGATGTTTCAATAAATAAAGAAATGCTGTAAAAAGAGAAATATGTGATTTTTTTTTTCGGTTGTACATTTGTCTCTCTAGTTGAAGACTTGCAGTCCTTCTGAAAGGGCAGATTTATATTTGTAACGATACATTTTTCATTTAACAGCGTATGCAATATACACCACTTGTAAAATACGCCAAACAGTTGACTGGCCTTAGGATTAAAATATCCCCCAGTATTAAAGGGCAGCCAAAAGGCATTCAGGGGATGTGATTTTTATGGAAAAATGGAGACAGCACCCTTAAATTGAAAGCATTATCCATGGCTGCGCATTGCTTCACACGTGGAAAAGGCAGTGTGAAATTCTACATCACACAAGTCTAAATCTCAAATCACCATGACATTTTACACGGAGGGGAAATCTGTTTTTATATATATAATAAGATCTTTCTTGTTATGGCTGTTTAACGTAGAATTCATATCCCCGGTAATATCTCAATAATAGCCTCTTCCACTGGAGGGAACAAGTGCTTATCAGCAGCGAGTGAGGAGGAAAACACCTTAATGAAAAGGGTAACAGTAACAGTGCAGGCAGCTGCGCTAAGCTACGATTACACCTAAATGTCCTTAACCACATTACAGCCAGAAAAGATTACACTGTGATGTGTTAAATAAATACACAATTTAATGTGATGCACTTACATCACTATATCTCTCGCCCCAAGTGCAGTACTTTGTTATTTAGTGCCTGGTGATGATGGTCTCTCACACAGAAACACTCACACACACACACACACACACACACACACACACACACACACACACATGCACGCACAGAGCAGTGGGGTTTTTGGAGCCGTCTCACAAACACAGCTAGAGACGATTTCAGAGTGGAGCTTGGAGTGTCGCGAAGGCTGGGCGCACAGCGCACCGCTCCGCTTGTCTGGGTGACACCAATGTGTCTGGGAGCTGTCGGCCTGACACGGGTTTACATGTCATATCACACACACACAATTCAAGCAACGCACGGAGGTAAACAATGGCTGCTTCCATTTAATAGTAAGTGTATGTCTCTAAAACCAATATCTAAATTTGAATAAATGACACATGAAGCTGATGCAGATATTGTGACTATTTGTAAAGGAAGATTAGAATCTGAATGAAATGTATTTATTTAAGAAAAGCTTCCCGACGGTGAAAGATCCCAAGAATTGTCAAATTGATTTCCCAGGCCCTAGAATCCCATGCGGCAGGCCTCTGCCCCTTCTCTCCCAAGCTCGACTTCCATGACGACACTTCACCTTTAACCTTGCGCTCTAGAGGGCACGACCCCTTCCTCTGTGAACACAAACCAGCCCAATCAGAATGCTGCGCTGGCTGACAAAAACACCCAAAGGCCTCTGCTCCTATGACAGTGTGTGACATCAGGTCAGATTCCTTTAGCATAACAACTACCACTATGGTCTTGTGAGAGGATTCTGTCTTTGTCAGCACAAAAAAACCCTCACAATCCACAGAGAAAAAGTGAGATTTGAAAAAAGGGGAGTGGGTGCGGGGGAGCAAAGAGAAAGACGTATTCTCTTATGAAAATATAATATATATAAGTTACGGTTCTCTCTATGGCATCTCATCGCCATCTCAGAAGTGACAGTGCATGTAGGTTGTTGCCGAAAAACCCCAAGAAATTTGAAAAATATCCCCCATGTACGTTCAGGGAGGTCTAACTGACGTATATGGGGGCTTCAGATGTATTACCCCCAGGTATCACCTGCCCCAGGGGGTGGTACATTGGGCTCCCTCCAGACCTAACTGATGAAATACGGCCGTTCCCTCGGAGTATAAGGAGGATTTCAAGAGGCATCTGGGGGGACATTTCTCACACAACGGTTATATTTGGTTTCAATTTCTCTGAGTTCTCTGGCCTGCGACATAAAGGGCAAAACAACTTGCCCGAGCAGGCGCTGCTCTTAGCATTCGCTACCTCGTCTCCAGCAACATTCCCATCTCCTTGAACCCATAGCCCACCCCCCCCTCCCCCGCCCCTCTCCCCGCACCACCAGCAGTGCTTAGGAAACCAAACACAAATCAGAACATGGGAAGTGATTTAGTGGCTCCTTCATAACTCACAAACACGTCCAGGACCTGTCCGGCGTGTCGTCCAAGTCACTGACATATTGATCTACTTCGCTGTCTCTATTTTGTTTCAGCACAGTGCTGCAACACTTTGCTTTCCGTGTTTTCACCTCTCTGGAAAAGGTCGGCCACACGTGAAACCAGTTGCAATTCTTAGGTTACAAAGCACATGCATGATAGAGGCTTTTGTTTTTAGTGAGAATAATAGTGGAATATATCAATTCTGTTCCCCAAACTAAAAAACTCAAGATTTAATCACAGATCACAATAAAAAACGCACAATAAGTTAAGGTGAGGAAGTTTCAATAATGCTTTTATCTACAGGGGCCTTGTGATCTGTTTCCTTTATACGAAGAATAAGATAATAAGAATATCCCCTAACAAAGATGTGTGTGTATTCCATTTGTGATTAAATAAAACATATTTGTTTCTTACCAAAATGTAAGACAAGGTGAAGATCAGTGCCATTTTAAGAGATTTAAGGATAGAGGTTGTTTGTTTCAAACCGGATAATTTCACGTGATATTAAATTTAACTATTTTCTCTCCCATAAATGTAAACCTATCATACATTACCACTATCTCTCTTACTTTCTCTTTCAATCAGCCTCTTCTGTCCCCCAGGAGGAACAGCACCAGTGTCATAACCCATTTGTCAAACGCTCAATACAAATTAAAGGCATCTGACAACGACCTGTATGGCTAATGACATAAATGCTGCTGGCAGCGTGACAACATTTAAACCTCTGAAAACACACGCACAC